CAAGCAGCTTTTAAACTAAATTTTACATTTTAAAATGACAATACCAGGCAATCTCAGGTCTCTCTCCCAGCTCTCTAACTGCTTGTACTAGCAAGGAAGCAGACAAGCAGCCTCTTCACTAACTGAAAGTTTGAATTTCCCCGCTTTCCCTGCCTTCCCTGCGTATTAGGTATGCTAATATCTGTTCACTGGACGATTGTGAGAGGAACATTCCAGCCCCTGATGGGGGTCCTGTGGGGCACCCCAAAACACTGAGTAGGTCTCTTGGCCTCTTTCAGGACTGGGGCTGTGCAGCCCTGCTCTGATCAGGAGGTGCAGCCGGGGTGTCACCATGCCTTTGGGGGATAGGGCACAGAAAGGGGAAGAATTTTCAGGGGCCATTCTAGCTCATACCTGGCAGGGGAGACACCATTATTGTAAAAGTGGTTTTCCCAGGGTAAGGCTCATCTATTGCACTTTGGATGTGCTGACCCCTGTGATTTCCCCAAATGTGGGAAAATCAACTGCCTAAGTGGGGGACTGTGTTTATAGTTTCCCCTGGTCTTTCTAGAATCACCCTTTCCCCTTTGGTCCTTGGTTGTTTTCACTGTCTGCTGCCATAGGCCTGTTGGCCTTGCTGGTTTTCCAGGTGGGCTGCAGAAAGCAGATCCTGGAAAGCTAGCAGTGCAGAATGGTGAGGTCCAAACAGCAAGCAGTCTCTGGTGCCAGTTCAGAGGCCTCCCAGCATGGCAGTGGGAGGCTTCTGGGTGGTGGTGGCTGAACCCTTTTTTTACTGTATTTGCTCCATAAGACGCACATACTTTCTCCCCCCTTGTTTGGGGGGAAAAAGTGCATCTTATGGAGCGAAAAATACGGTACCTGGGTATCAGAAGGACATCCCTTAACAAAATAATTAGGTAACAAAGACATAGTTTTAGCAAACTGGGCCAGTGTTACCCACTATATGAATAACACTGCTACTTAACTTTCAGAAAAAGTAAAGTAAAGTTACATTATGTTATGACAACTGATTACTATTTAGCTTGCACGACAAAGTCTTACAGTGTTGAAGACAAACATATTATGGCATAACTTTTATTTTGATGAAATAGATTGTGATCTGTGAAAGCTTATGCCACAAATATAGCAGTCTTTTTAAGGTACTATAAGATAGTGACTATTTAGACAGGCGATATTCTGGCTCCCCTTATGAAAAAAGTTTGTGTCCTTGTAAGGATAGAGAAATTGGAACTCTGAAGCACGTCCTTTTTGAGTGTAATTTTTACAGAAATGAGTGTATCAAATTCCTCAAGCCCATAATGAATGTCTTCTCAGGTAGGACTCTGATTTGGTATACAAAATATTTATTAAGCGACACAAACAAGCTAACCACCGAATCAGTGGCCAAATTCCTTCTCTCTGCCCAAAGAATACGAAAAACAATATTGACCTCTACCTAACCCCGTCATTAAAAAATATATGGGTAATCTATTTTATCAATTTATACTGTTCTAGCTATCTTAAATGTTTTAATTGCTTCCATTTATTTTAAATATTACATGTATGTATTTTAATGGGTCGGAGACCGCAAAATAAAGATAGTGACTATTTAAATTGCTTCAATAGACTAAGCAGCTACTCCTCTAGAGTAGCTGCTTAGTCTTTTGCTTTAGCTCATATAGCAGTTGAAGACCTCAGTACTCTGTACTGTTGATGTACTTTTAAAAAGAAAAATTTGAGACTTCTTCCTCAAAAACATGCAAATATGAAATCCTTAATATGCATAGTTTTTTTAAAAAAGATGAGCACAAAACGACACTCAGTTCACCATCGCACCTTGCAGAACATCAACTAGGCAACTGAAACACAGCTTTGTTAATTGAAGAAATAATTGCCATGCATGCAGATTAGTATGTCTCATTGTGCTTTAAAAAGCACATATGAAATCTGACCTTTGGTTTCAGCATTCGCTATTTGATCTTTGGCCACTTCTTCTTCTTCTTCAGCCATAGCTTGAAAAATGGCAGTCAGGAAAAAAAACAGCAGTTCACATAGTGGGCCTTCACTATCATTTCCTACAAGAGCTTCCTCTAAAACCTCTGTAAATAATGAATAAAAAAGAGTCCTTAGTCAAACAGAGAAGGAAAAAGAAACAAAGTAACTTTTCTGCCATGCTAATTATGAACTGGTTTATCAAGACACTTTATCAAATATTTTCTAAATGATGCACACTTGCTCCAATTCAGCTATTGGAAGAAGAATGGCAACATGCAGATGGATCAGTTCCTTTACTTGAAATATCTTCTCAATCTGTTTCAAAGAAGGAGCCAGTCTATGTAAGGTATTGCATAACCTGTGGTTTACCTGAGCAGAGACAGTTCAATATAAAAATGAACTGAGGCACTTGTGCACATTACATCTCAAGGTCAAGCTGACTGTTGACAAGCATACATACAATGTAGAGGACATAATTTACAGACAATAAAGACAATTTGAAGCTTACAAGGCAAACTAGATCACAGCTGCTTCCTATTAGTCCACCATTCACACGTTGACAGGGTGGATAAACCATTCCTTTCTTTTTAATTTGCAAAGCAAAACCCCCATGCAGGATATACTACTTGTATTTACTACAGATTGTCTTTTCAGTTTACTAGAGACAGCAGAAAAATATAGGGATCTGATATTTTAGGACATGAGTATGAATGCTCGCATGGAAGAAGATGTATGGGGGACTTGCCTAAAGTCATTCCATCAGGAAATTCATCTTGAAGATCAAAGAGTTCCCCAAAGGCATGTAGGAACTCCAAGACCATGACTGCATCACCAAAGATCTCAGGAGGTAGTCTAGTTTTCACTGGAGTTGGAACTGGAAGTTCCTGTAATGCAAAGTAAGTATCAACTGATATGTAGCACAAATGAAATGAATAACCAATAATGAAACCATAAACACTCTGTTTATGTCTATTTCTGTTCCATAACAAACATTTTTAGTAGCCAAAATTATTATGTCTACTTATGATCTAGCTATAACTGTAATTCTTATACTGAGAATGTTGCATCAGTTGTCAGAGATGTGATAAACATGGGTCCTTGAAACAAAGTACACTAGATCAGTGGTTCTTAACCTTTTTGAAAGAAACACTCCCTTGAGCCATTGAGGAAGTTATCATCGCCCCCCTCCCTGCGGTGATGATATTTATTTATTTGTTTGTTTGTTTGTTTGTTTGTTTAAGACACAAAGTCTGAAACTAAATTAAAATGGGAGGAAAATATATATTCATGCACACTGTAAAAAGGCTGCAGCCATCTTCACAGGTTTGGCTTGCTCCAGCGCCCCCCTACTGCCCCCTTCTGCTCCAGCGCCCCCACGCCGCCCCTTTTCGTTCTACTGCCCCCCTGAAAAATGAAATCACCCCCTGGGGGGCATTATCACCCACGTTAAGAACCACTGCACTAGATGGAAATACATTTATCAATTAACATGGAAAAATAAACCCAAGTTTTGCATGCTATTCTATACAGAAAAAGTAGACACATAGGCAGTAAGAAAGTTTTTCTTTTGCAAAAAGCTCTTCAGTTAAAGAAACACTTGCTGCAATGAGATGCCACTATTCATGGACTAAAGCCAATATCACCTGGGTACTGCAGTTAGGGATGGGCACAGGAAAACTTTTAAATTTCACTTGTTCTGGGGTTCTTTTGGGATTACCTCTTTCATTTTCAGGTCATTCAAGTATTGAGCCTTTGCCAACATGACAGGGACAGGCTATTTTGGGTTCTTTTGTTTCATTTTTTCTCATTCATGTTTCTGGTGCTAGACCAAAGACAGTCACAACCATCAATACTACTACAAAAAGCAGGGGCAAGGCAACAATAATCTACTGCAATGGTTCCCAACCTTAGGTCCCCAAGGTGTTCTTGAACTAAAACTCCAAGAAGCCTTCATCACTAACTGTGCTGGCCAGGATTTTTGGGAGTAGTAGTCCAAGAAAACATCTAGGAATCCCAGTTTGGGAACCACTAATCTACTCCAAAAGTGGGTAGTGCTGGCGTGGTACCTTGACTTACGAACTTAATCCGTATTGGAATTAAGTTTGTACGTTGAAAAGTTTGTAAATCGAGGCAAACTTTTCCATAGGAATGCATTGAAAACCATTTAATCTATATCTGCTGTTTTTCATTCGTATGTCGAGGCGCTGTGCATAGGTAGAGGCATTAGTTCCCATAGGAACTAAACTTAATCCGTACTCTACCACTAGGAGGGATTTTTTTTAATTTTTTTCTTCTTTTGACCTAAGGTGAACTTAGGTCAAAAAAGGGCAGGAAACGTTTCTTTCTTTCTTTTCTTTTCTTTTTGGTTCATAAGTCGAGGCTTCATTCACAGGTCAAAGCAACTTTTTGCGAACGGAGCCGTTCGTAGCTCAAATCGTTCACAAGTAGGGACGTTTGTAAGTCGAGGTGCCACTGTTCATGAGAAAGAAAAACCAATCAACATCCAATTTATGCAGACACTAATAGTACAGTGGTGCCCCACTAGATGCTTACCTCGGTAAATGATGAAATCACTTGACGATGACTTTGGGGGAAATCCGCTTTACATTGATTAGGTCCCTGCTTTGCGAACCATTAGTTCACGAAACGATTATTTTTCCGGTTCCGCAAAATGGCTTCCCTTTGCAAAATGGCTTCTCTCCCTTCGCAAAATGGCTGTTTTCCAGACAGAAGCTTCGGAAGACAGCGATTTTAAATAGCTGATCGGCAGTTCTCTATGGGCAATCTTCGCTGGACGATGAGGTATTTCCCCATTGGAATGCATTAACCGGTTTTCAATGCATTCCAATGGGGATTTTCTTTGCGCATGACGACGATTTCACTGTACAGCGATTTTCCTGGAACGGATTATCGTCATCATGCGGGACACCACTGTACTTTAAAGTTCACACCATCACACTACCATCTCCCTCCTCAATTCATTGCAAAAAACAGAATAGATCAGGGGTCCCTGAGAGCATTTACCTTGTCTTAATTTCACTGCCAAAGTTGTACTGACAGTGGACATACTCTACTGGATCCTGGGTAATGTCAGAATTTTAATTCATGTCAAAAGTCAGCAATACATATGTCAATGAGTTCCAGGCCAACAGGATATGTAAGGTTTGCCTCTGATTAGATCTTCAGCTGATTTTGGATCTAATTATGACATCTGATGATTTGATTCTTCTTTACATGATGAAGCTTGGATTTCTGATTTCTTGTTTCACAGAAGTCTGAAATTCATCCTTCATCATGTAAACTCAGCCCCTCAAAATGACAAAAACACATCTATGCTATATCTGATATTACATTACCTTAAGATCATCACACTCCATATCTTCTCTACGCTTACTCCATTGTTTTAGATGTTCCAGATACTTCCGTTTTTCCTCACGCAACTTTTCTCTTTCCTGACAATTACACAGAAAATTGTTATGAAAATAACAAAGCAAAACTGCAGCTTCGCCTTCTTTCATTAAAAAATTGTCCATAATAATATGCCTCTTGCTAAATCTCTGTGCCCAAGTAGCGTATCAGTAATGTATCAGAATGAGTCTGGGATGAAAGAGGTCCATTTTGGCTTGGCAGAACAAAAATGCTAAGGAAAATAATTTTGCATCTTTCTGAACCCTATGTGCAAGATTATCTTGGCATCACTCTGGCTACGTTCTGGAGATGAACTACATGCAAAAGCCCTAGTTAGACATTATAAACTGTATAAAATATACATAGAGGGGAACATTTTGGCCCTGTCTCCTCAATTGTTGTTGTCCTTCTACATACGAAAGATTTAAAAAATCTGAAGAGGGAGAAGTCCACTATCCATGTATGCTCCCCATGCAAGTCGAACCTTGATGTTCCAGATATAGGAGAGTGGCAAGGGTCATGGCCAGCAAAGGGGCAGGGCCAGAAAGATTCCCCCACTCCCTGTGAATATTCTATACAGTTCATAATGCCTGAATAGAGTTTATGGTAACTACATGTGTGCAGTTAAGCATCACTTTACTTCTTTAGTGCAAGCCCAATATGGATCAGAAGTACCTTGCTGAATCTTCCACCTGTTTAATTAAAAAAAATAAATAAAAGGGCCGTTTGGGGGGGCAGAGAGCTCCTATATGTGAAGGGAGCAAATATAAGGGGGGAAATGGCTGCAGTGAGAAAGGTTTAAATCACTCTTACACATGTGTGGTGCCAACCTGGATCAGGCCTGCACATGCTTACTTTCAATTAAAAAGAGCAAGAGACTCAGCTACATACCATGCATTTAACATAGCAGGTAGCTCTCCTTGATGTAATATACAAAGCCTTGTTTTTCTGCACAATTCTAGCTATTGGGAATCTCTACATACAGCTACAGAATACGTCTATCACTGCCATTGCATATTCATAAGCTATTTGTAACCCAGGATGGAATGTATTGGACCTTTTCTTTTTCTATTTTGAGTCGTTCCCTCTCCTCTTTCTTCTTCAGCCTCTCTTCTTCAACAATTTTCTTTAATTCTTCCTTCCTTTTTTCTTTATCTTCTTTTTCTCTTTTCTTGGATTCCACAGCATTCGCCTTCTCCCTTTTTAATTTTTCTTTATGAAGAGTGGACAGAACTAGAGTTATATTTAGACTATACAGAGAACACATTAAAATCAAGTTTTCAAAGAAAGACAGATAGTTGAACAGACTTAATTCTTTTATAAAATCCAACTTTTTTATAAACTTAATGTAATTCAAATATGTTCTTAATAGTTTTAATAAATGTTTCATATTTTTGTTTTCATTTTTGTTCACTCCAGAAATTAGGCAAGTTCCTCTTCTTCCTCCTTAAGGTTTTAAGATATATTAGTGAATTACATTTAAAAGCAGCATTTCTTAAATCTAAAGAATGTAGCCCTCAATTAAACTGAGTTGTATTTAAAAGACTATGTAAAGCAAAATGACTGCCATTAAAGATCGCATTGCACAAACTCCTCTATTGGTGGCTGTCCCTGCTGGCTCCATTCCAGTATTCTGGGGTTATGAGGAGGAGAATCTGTTACTTCATTCCATGGGTTCTCTAGGCAATGTAAAACTATTATATTTATCAGCATAATTTAAATTTACAAATAAGCTGGAATCCTGTTCATGGAGCTATGCTTCATAAGGCTGATGATGGCAGTGGTGGCAGCAGCAACAGCAGTGATTTTTGTAAATTAAAACCCCCGCCTATTCTGTGGCCCCCAACAGCTTCCTCATACAGAAGGGGATTCCATGGGAACCTCAGAACCTTCAGGAGCAAATGAGATTTTTTTTTAATTTCTAAAAAATCACTGCAACTGATGGCAGTATCAACCTTAGATGGCACAGATCCCAGAACAAGATTTCAACCAGTGTAGTTCAGCCACATTCACCACTAAAAATTCAGCACAAAGTACAGAACAGCCACCAACCACATTAAGCAACTTAATATTGCAAAGAAAGCTAAAACCACCTTACAATGTGTAAAGCAAACATCACTGTGACAGCAGAGTAGAAACATTATTTAGTTTCTAAATTTCCATTTACTGTTCCAATTAAATCTGAAGTGAATAAACTACAATCCTTTGTATTCAATAGAAAGCTGCAGATAAATTCTCAGGTAAGCACTTACACAAGCTGTGTAAGTGAGTTCACCACTGGAAACAAACTATACTGACACGACCAGATAGGCGGGATATTAAATAAATAAATAAATAAATAAATAAATAAATAAATAAATAAATAAATAAATAAATAAATAAATAAACGTAACACCTTGCTAATGGCTTTCAAATATCTGGTATGTGAATGGCTTTGGCTTAGCACATGACAATATTTGAAAAATAACCCATAGTCATTACTTGTGACAATGATGAAAAAGTAACATGTTATTTCACTGCTTCTTGCCTTTTCTTTTCTTTGGTTAAAAACCAAAGTCACATTAAGGTGATGATATCAGCAGTAGGGGAAAATTTAGAGTTTGCCTGACTCACATACAGTAAGACTGATTGCAGCTGGGCAGGCAAGCCCTGGGATAGAATGAGAACCATTTAATTACTATCAGTCTCTGATAAAGTTGAGCTTACCCATGGCCCTCATTTCTTCTTTCTCTTTTTGGAGTCTTGCTCTTTCTTTTGCTGCACAACTAGGACTAAGTTGTTCTGCAGCTTTGTCCACCTAGAGACAAGAGTACAAGTTTAAGAAAGGGAAGCAACTGAAAACCTTTCGACAATCTCATACATAAAGATGTACTGTAGTTTTCATTCAAGTAAAACATACACTAAATTGGCAGACTTGTAATAAATCAAGAAACTTAAATGTTCAGTTTTCTAGCAATAAAAAGTTTTGTTCTTCTTCCTTTTATCATTTAAAATATGCATGGATATGGCTTCTGTTTTTATAATGACAACCTGAATTTGGAAGCCTGGTGTTAAGTCCCACTACTCAAGGACATCCAGAACCCCATAACGCCATGTTACATATTAGTAGCTGTAAAGTGGAAACAATTTCGAAAGGTGAACTGTCTCAGAGAGTTATAGTGAAGATGAACAAAAAGATATCGAAGCATTCTGCACACTTGAAAAGCTATACCAGTTAGGTTTTTTTATTTTTATTTTTTGTAAAGAACGTAATCCACAACCGTAATGTATCAGAAAGCACTGCAATACCTACATCATTAGATACTATCTTGGAAGGCCTCTTTTGCTGTCTGATTGATGAACTAAGGGCAAATATGGGTGGATCATCAGGAAAGAAGTAAGAAAAACTCTGTTCTGCTATCTTGTATTTTGCAACTGATGTTACCTTGGAAGAGAGAAGTAAAAAAGAAGATATAGTGAGGGTGTCTGATCTTGCATATACATAATGCTAATAATAAGTCATTGTTTTAGGGGCGAAAGAGCAGAACGTATTCTATTTTCACTAGTGGCTTGTTCACATCACAAGAATTGAGCCACTTCAGTGGCATAAATGGCTCATGACAGTATTTAAGACAGGTGCATTATCTTTTGGATGAGCGCATATTCCACATTTCAACTAAAAATTATACCCATGTCTAAAACCTCAGTCTAGTTTATACCATAACATAGTACCATTATACAACAGGTAAATAACAAGTCTGAACTAGTAAATAATAAAGAACCACGCCTTCTATGAATTCCAGTGGAATAGTCATTTTAAACTGAAGTAAAAACACCAGGGAATGGCGCAATTTAAAGACATATATTTATACTAAAATAAGTGTGCTTTTCTTTAAAGTATCACAAACTATCCATTAAAAAAAAAGTAATTAGCTCATTTCAAATACATTCCTTCATAAAAGCTAGTTCATCTACAACATCTGGTTACACTTGGGCTTGAATGGTTCCTTCGTTCTTTTCCTCACATATTTAAATTCTTCTGCTAACTACTATTTCAAACAACAAGAAGAAAGCAGTGTAATCTAACTAAATACTGTACAGATTTCCCAAAATGACTGAATTTTCTTAAGGTGCTTTATAAATCTAACAATATGATTATTAACCATATTGACTAATGTTTCTGGCAAACTATGAACTGCTGTAAAGTTTCTTGCTTCATATAGTAACAACCACAGCTTGCCTAAAACCTGAAGACAGCAACATCATCACAACATATTAGGATGCACGCAAGCCTGATTAGGCATTACTCTTGCTGCATAATTTTATGATTTCACTGCAGTTAATTTTTCATTTTAGACTACAGTATTGCTGCACAAGAGTGCAAGAATGATCTTGTGCAGCAGAGCAAATCAACATTCTAAAAGGCAATTCTATAAATGAGGGAAGCCCCCACCCTAAAATTGTAACTTTTAAATTGGGCTTTGGATCAGCATCAAATTTAGAACAGTTGTACCAGAGAACGGTTGTGCTCTCGTCCTGTGCCAACTTTGGGTAAAGATTTTTGAGTTACGATTTTTTAAAAGTGAAGTTGTCTTCCCCCAACTTCAAAAACAGTTATCCCCACCCAGATTTACAATAGCTCATATATGAAAAGACCAATCTTGCTTTTTTATTTGGAAAGAATGCATGCTGCAGGGGCTAAAATATTGGTCCTCAAAAAACCCTTTTCAAATGGGAGGAATGATTTTTTTTTATAAAACTAAGCATGCATGGTATACAGCAGGGGTCCCCAAACCCCAGTATGTCGCCTGGTGCTGGTCCATAGCCTTGGCAGGACCGGGCCACGGAGACAGATCTCCCCCCTGCATGCATGGCATGCCCACCTGGATGCACAGAAATGGTGCAATATTGCTGCACAATATTGTACTGCGTTGCTAGCAGGAAAAAGCATGCCAAACTTTATATAACAAATGGCAGCCTGAATGCTGATGACACCAGTGTCAGCAGTCAAGATGGTTTATAGGTTTAACCTCTTCTGCTCACTATGAGACACCAAGAACCTGACTTCTTTATTCAACCACTTTTCAACAAAACGCAAAGCAACTGTCATGGCTGTTTTTCAATAGGTTATACAGTGGTGCCTTGAATAGCGAGTGCCTCTATTAACGAAAAAAAACGAATAGCGATTTGTTTTGGGGGGAATATTTTTGCTTTGATTAGCGATTTTTCCTATAGGCGATTTTCGATTAGCAATGGTCGGGGCGGCAGAGGGGGAAGGGGAAGGGCCCTGGCGAGTGGTGGTTTGGCTCTGCTCGCTCCTCCCGGGGCGGCGGCGGGGGAAGGGAAAGGGCCCTGGCGAGCGTCGCTTCAGCCTGCTCGCTCCTCCTGGGGTGGCGGTGGGGGAAGGTAAGGGCCCTGGCGAGCGGCACTTCGGCCTGCTCGCTCCTCCCGGGGCGGCGGTGGCCACCCATCTCCCGGCGGCCCGGCTGGGCCTCCTCTGGCTCCAGCTTCTCCTGGCGGTGCTGGGGGTCGAGGGAGGAGAAGAACAAAGGGACCCGCCGGGCACCCCCTGGTGGGCGCCCTCGGGTGGGCGAGCGGCCATGACGCTCATTCTGGGCTGGCTGGCTGGCTTCCTCCTCCTTCCTCGCTCCCTCACTGGGTGGCTTTGTTTATTTATTTATTTATTTATTTATTGGACTTATATACCGCCCCATAGCGCTACAAGCACTCTCCGGGCGGTTTACAATTTAATTATACAGGCTACAC